ATCTTGTATAATGCGTATTGAGTCTGAGTAAGACACTGGAGTATTAGGCAGGGGGGGGGGGATCCCTTGATTTCCACCGGGTATTTTGCACACTGGTTAAAGAGCCCCTTATTATGCTTTTCCTCTTTTTCCCAGTTACTTTAGTGTGATATATATATTTTTGCACATGTAAAAGGTCTGTAGAGTTGTAAAGTCTGAAATCCACGCCTAAAGGGGGGTTACTCTCCTAAGAAACACTGCTCCTGAGCTGCCTGAAACGGCTCGATTGAATTCGGTCTTTACTTCCCTAACGTAGTGAGTCATAATGTAACACATTTGCATTATACCTCCTACCAGCTAGTTTGGCACGCCCTCAAACAAAGCTAGAGAGACAGAGCTGGAGCTCAGTCGGAAGATTTTGAGAGTTACTAGGAGTTAGGGAGTCTAATGGCTCGGGGAAAGAACCAATTGCAGAACCTGGTAGTTCTACACCGTATTCCCCAGTTTCTTTTGCCAGGAGGCCAGAAGAGCAAAATGTCCACGATAGAGTCCCCGGCAATGTTCGTAGCCTTGGTCCAGCAGCGTGTGTGCACTCCAGAAGTGATGTATTAAAGAATGGAATGAATGAATTTCAACACAGCTACAGAGTGTGCTCAGGGATAACTCATTTTGTGTTAATTTCAACAAAGCAAATGTGTTGTTTCTGCATATTGTGTTTAAATCATGTGTAACCCAGATAAACACATTACAGTGTTATCAGGTAATGAACATTTTCTTTCAATAACAATGAAAAGCAAAAATACATAAAATGTTCAACTCTTTTTAAAAGCACTTTTTTTTTAATGAAAACGGCATTAATTTGTAATACAATATAGAAAAGTACAAAAATGTATTAATTTCTATAATGTCGTTATTGAACATGACATCAATAAAACATTGATAGAACCACATCTACATAATATCAGCTCATCAGTGCTAACATTTGACATTATGTAAAGAACTAACATCTGACACAAAGTCTTTAGTTTGTTGGACTACAGATGTATAGAAATGCTCATCAAAGTACTGAACATCAAGCACTTTAATAAGAAAGAGGAATGTCTCATCCTGGGGTATAACATAAATTACCTCACCAAATAAGTGCTCCCCATGATGCTGTGTTTTAGTGGCAGCACAGATCCAGCTGTTGTATGTCCTTAGGCCACAAGTAAGTGTGAACTCCAGTCCCTCTGACAAAGCATGTATTTTCCAAAGATGACAAATCAGTTTCTTTATCTGTGTGAATTGTGGTTGACATTTTGGACAAGTTGGTGTGTCTAATTAATAGACTTGACTTTTGCAATGAGGTCAAAACAGTTGCTCTCCTGTTTGTTGACCTGGGTATCATAGATGTAGGCCAAGTTGCATACCCAGTAGAGCTTGAGCCACTTGACCACAGTGCATGCCAGACCTTCACCCAAGGGAATAGCAATCTTGTCAGATTTGGCCACGATGACGCATTGCTTTGACCCTCCCCTTAGATGCAGGCTAGTTGTGGCTGTATGCTCTGTGCTGGATCCTGGGATGCATTGTGGAGCACTGGTACTGTCACGTCCAGGCCGTGCCTCCTGTTTTCCCCTGTGTGTGTTGTGGGAGTGACTCCGACCTGGTCTCCTCCCAGCTCCCTCCTGATTGCTATTCATTCACCTCACCTGTCCGGTTTTACATCCACCCTCGCCCTCTTGTCCTCAGTCCCCCACTGGTCCCACTACATTGCCCCAATGTCCTCCGGGAATTAAACCTTTTCACTCATTTACTCCCTGATCTGTGTTTGCATTTGGGTCCATATATCAGAATATAGACATATAGAAATAAGTCAAGTGTCCAAAACTAGCTCTTAATAATTACTTTTTTATGTTTTATTATATTCAACTACTGACTACAATTTATCAAGGCGGATGCAAACCTTTAACATGAACTCAAACTCGATTCACATGAAATTCACATGCGTGTAATCGCAGAATTGACGCTACAGCGGCTTACTGCAATTGGTGGATGAAGATGAGCAAGGACGACCGGCATCGTGTAGCCCTTCTCATCTGCAAATGAGAATTGGGGGTGGGGGTGGTTTGGGGAGAAGAGAGGTAATCATTAGCACATTCAATAATTTTGTTGAAATATTTAAGAAATTCATTGTAACATTCAGTGCATACCTTCAGTCTTGTTTTCATTCCATCCGTCTTGTCTTCCATTCAGTTACAGATGCGATATCACCCTTCTCCCTGGCGGCAACAGCTTTCAGCTTTGGCATAATGCTGGCCTCCCACCGCCTTAACAACAGGTCCCCCTTTCCTTCATGCATTTTGTCAGACAGGTTGGTGGGACCTAGACCAGGGGTCGGCAACCTTTACTATCCAAAGAGCCATTTTGCTGTATTTTCCACCAAATAAAATTCGTCTGGAGCTGCAAAAGCTATTTGATATCACAGCTGATGTTTTGTATATAGTTATATTATATATACAAAAACTATAGTTTGTTGTATTTATGAAATTATATAACAAGAATAAAGACAATTCTTGACATTTTATTGCTATTTTACCCGATATAACAATATCAAACTCTTATGAAGAGGAGAGTTTGCTGCAGCAGTTGAGAAATCATCTCCAGCGTGATACTTTTCAGCAAATGCTGTGTTTGTTCTGGAAGTGACATTCAACATCACATTGTTTGCAC